ATGGTGTTAAAGTAAAATGAACGAGAAAATGATCGCCAAAAGTTTTTGACTTCAAAATCGTAGTTGTCCTTGGAAACTGCAATTTTATGGCTTTTTTGTGTGTGTATGTGTGTCTTTAGTGAACGTCTTTCAGTAAAATCCACTCCGAAATGTATCTTGAAACAGACATTGATTTCACAAGAATGTCACACATAGGACAGACACATTTCATTTCTATTTCCCTAAACCTCCAGCAGATTCAGGGAAAGTTATTTCTCTTGTTTGGCCTTTTTTTTCTTCTGATTTTTTTCCTTTTCTTTTCTTTTTTTGTTTTGTTTTTTCTTTTCTCTCTTTTTTTTTGGGGGGGGGTTCTGTCTTCCTTATTTCGTTGGTATGTTCTGTCTTCCTTGTTTCTGTTTTTTTTTTCTCGTATTTTCTGTTTTCCTTAATTCGTTAGTATTTTGTCTCTCTTGTTTCCTTCTCCTTCTCTGCTTTCTTTATTTCTTTTGTATTTTCTGTCTTTCTCGTTTGTGTGGGCTTTTATTTTTTACTTCTCGAATGATTCATAGTCACTTATTATAACCAACTCTCGTGGGTTTGTTTGTTTGTGTGTGTGAGACATGTCTGCTGATGTTTTCCAAATATACATTTCTTCGTCTGTGCTTCCTGTACGTTGTTTTGGCGCTGTTGTGTGGGGTATTCCACACGTCCTCCCTTTGTCCTCCTTTATCCTGGTCTTGTCAGTTTATGTGTTTACAGTTTTACGTTTTGTTTGTTCCTCCCGCTGATGAGCCTTGGTCTCATTCTCCGGTTCCTTTTACGTTCTGCATTTGGCTGTTGTCTGGGACTGATCCACGGTCTCTTTATGCCGCCTCCATACAGAGACATTTCATCAACAAATTAATTAAGTTTTGTAGGTTTTTTTCTCCTTTTATTTGTTTGTTTGATCTGTTTTTCTAATAAGTTTATTTCAGGAAATTGAACAAAGACAAAAATACCCAGAAACTATAGTGGGTTTTTTGGGGGGTTTTTTGGTTTTGTTTGGTTTTGTTTTGTTTTGGTTTTTTGGTTTTGTTGTTGTCACTGTTGATGATGTTGTTGTCACTGTTGATGATGTTGTTGTCACTGTTGATGATGTTGTTGTCACTGTTGATGATGTTGTTGTCACTGTTGATGATGTTGTTGTTACTGTTGATGATGTTGTTGTTGTGGTGGTGGTGGTGGTGGTAGTGGTGGTGGTGGTGGTTGTGGTTGTTGTTGTTGTTGTTGTTGTTTAATTTCAGGAACATCAGCAAAATGAAAACCACAAGAAACCTTATTGGTTTTGTAGGGGCATTTTTTTCTCTTATTTTTCTTCCTGCATTATTTCACTAAAGGCTAAGGTTAACGGTTCCTCACCTGCTCTTTTGTGTACATGTATTTTCTTGTCTTTACTTTTACTTAACTGTTTTGTGATTTATGATATGACAACACCAATACACAAAGAGTGTGATCACACTACAGTAGCTAGAGTAAATTGTTCTTGAATTCAGGCGTGGTGTGTACACTTCACAAGATCTAGTTACCCTATGCTTGGCTTTTGAGAAGAAATTATATCACTGTTATAGAAGAGATGTAGGCGTGTGTGTTTCTGTATGTATGTGTGTCTGTATGTATATATGTGTATATATATATGTGTGTGTGTGTGTGTGTGTGTGTGTGTGTGTGTGTGTGTGTGTGTGTGTGTGTGTGTGTGTGTGTGTGTGTATGTGTGTTGAGGTCACTATGTTACGATTCCTTTTCCACCCTACTAATCTCTCACATGTGCAAAATGTTTTTACATGTTCGTATTCTGTTTTATTATGGACATTAACAACGATCAGCATCACACATTGTTCACTGTATTCTTTAGAAAATTCCCTTTTGTGCGTCTTTAGCTAGGCTGTCTGTCAAGCCGCAAAGCTTCTACTAAACAGTGTCTTAGACACCCCTGTGTTCGATACGCGTGTGATTTGTGATATCAAGCTTTTTAAAAATGTATCCTGTATCTATGCTAGTTTAGAGGACTCTTTCTGTGAATCTTTTTGTCACAAATGTTTGCTCATTGTTATTCAAATTTTGATAGTACTATGGTTTTTGTTTTTAGACAACTGAATTTTGATCATCTTAACCCTTGGTGTGTGTATGCTGTTACAGATAACTCATTCTCTGTCCTGAAATCCCCAGTATGTTGAATTCTTGTGTTTCATATTCTTGAAAGAGTTTGAAACTTTTTTCCTTATATTGCCGTTCGTTTACTTTTAAAGAAAAATATGGTCATGTAACAGGACCTCCAGAAACGGCCAGGTGACGTCATGACGGTGAACTTGGCTCTTCTCTCTCTCTCTCTCTCTCTCTCTCTCTCTCTCTCTCTCTCTCTATC